GTCTCCGCACACAATTAGATGGCGTAGACTTCTGCTTGAAATTTGCTCGGGTATTACCCCACAGGAATGTAGATCCTGGGCCTGGGTCCATAGATTGCAGCCCCTATTCCTTCTGGGGTCTTCGAGACGTCTGTGTACCACTGCAGTGTACCATCCTAAAGGAGTCTCTCGAAGGAGGAGGTACTCCAGGTTGCTTCACTGCTTATTTTAGTTTTAAACCTTTTTTCAAAAACTATAGTTCTACATATTTCATCCCTCGGAAGCAGAGCTAGCGGGAGCGGGGACCCCGCTCTTCCATATCCCTCTCTAGCATAAATGAGTAGAGTTCTTTTGGCGAAGTGTTCTATGGTTGTATAAATGAGCTCGAGTTATAGGACCACTTCCAGCGCTGTCCTCGGACACGTGCGCATCGCTCCCGTTATGCATACACATGCCAGTGGTTGTAGCTTAGTGAGCGATTGTCTCACGGTAGCCAGAGTGGTTCTTGAAAATCAAGCCACCAAGGACTATATCGGTCGCATAGCCTTAGCGGCGGATACCTCAGAGAAGCTGGAGGAGTTCATCCACTACTACTGGCTCCAATGGGAGTGGCCTCTGGGAAGTGTGCCTCATGCTTGAAACACAATACCCGGCGAACGGCGAAGTTCGCCGAATTGGGCGATGCCGTCGTTCACCGTTCGCCCTGCTATTTCGCCTACTTTAACAGAATTAGAACGGTAGCGAAAACAGCTGATACCACTTCGTCGCACTTATAAGTTAGGTGACCATATTTCGAGAAACGAAACCATATTTAGAAATGATGAAATGCTAACAAATATAAATATAAGGCAAGGGGGAATTATTATAAATTATTTTATTTTAAACCAGATTTAACGAATCGATCACTATATTTTTCAACCATTAAAAATAATTCTTCTAAATCTTTGAAAGTAAAAAAGCATACGGCCACCTTTCGCTCGCCGGCATTGTGTTTCCACGGTCAAGCAGAGTGGTAGTCCTCTCTTCCAATCTTCTAATGTAGGTGCCGTCACTGCGTTTTTGCGCAAGTTTCGTTTCCACCATTCCTTTGGCTGGAACCTTGTGTAGCCTCGCAGCTGCTGGGGTATTCGAAATACCTTCACATAAGGTTCTAAAACTAGCTCTCTTCGCCTTCCCAATCTGCTTGCTGTAGATGGTTGGTTTAGCTGCATACTCATCCCAGCCTCCGGTGCGCTTGTCCTTGTTGAAAAGTTTGCGTGCCTCTTTCCGGAGCGCAGGGAGCTCCCTTGACCACCACGCGGTTTTGGTCGTCAATTTTGGTTTGGTCTAAGGGCAGCTATAGTTATAGTTGTTGTTGTTGTAGTGGCCATCATGTCCGTTGTAAGGAAGTTAAGGGAGTGTCAAAACTTTAATGTCACTAGTGAGCAAACCTTTAATTATTGAATCATGGTTTAGTGAAAGTTGAAACGACGATATTTGATACCAAACCCTAGTTTCTGACAATAAGAAATCGGCACCCTGAAATTGTGCATATGGGCCCTGTCACACGGTCAGTAATAATCACGATCTTTGGATCGCGATCCATATCGATGGATTGATGGATCGCGCACGAATGCTACATGCTCAGTCAGTATTTGCGTAATTTTTGTGCTGAACGCTTATTATGATGCAAGAAAATATTTTTATTTTGTATGAATAATTTGCAGATAATGCATTCCACAATTATTTTAAAATTTCCCATGTACATTAAAATTTTTTCAATTTGTTTTGAAAGGTTTTAAGCAGCGAGAACGAACGGATACGTTTTCGATGTTCGCATTATGAGAGTACAAGATGTACTGACGAAATGTACTATCCTTTTGTAAGTGCTACACGGTCAATATATATTGACAATATTGCGATCCGCGATCCAGATTTCAAAAATTTTAGAAATTTTGCGATATGGATCACGATCCATCAACACTGCATGCTACACCGTCAATAAATATAGCGATACTTGGATCACGTCAATAAATACTGACCGTGTGACAGTGCCCTATGGAAACTGTGCCTACGAAATAATGCAATGAAAAAACCCGAAATAAAGCATACACGCACAGTTTCGGTTTAAACGGAAATAATATCTAAATGCTCAGTTTCTATTTGCGCAATTTCGGTGACCCACTGCTTGAATTTTTCAGTCGCTTTAGTATACATAATGCATCAGTTTTAGCGTGTGTTAGGTTCGAGTCCCACGGCCAGTAGACTTTTTCTATTTCTTTTTCATTCTTTTTTTTTATAAGCTCTATATTTCTTTTACGTTGCTTTCAGTTAGTTGTTGACTTTTTAACAAAATTCATCTCTAAAAATTAAAATTAACTAATAGTAAAATAAGAGATGTGATATAAAATAAAGCAAATGAAAATAAAATAAAGTAAAATTAAATATATAAAAAAAAAAAATATTAAATAAATAAGTGGTTAATGCTTCTGACTTTGAACATCGATTACCCAGGTTCGATCCCTGCTGAAGTCTAGAAAAAGAAGTCTGATGAGGGGATGCGGTGATCTCCGAAATAGCTGCTATAACTTCTACCGCTTAGGCTTTGTTGCTTTTTAAATTTTTCCTAATAAACAATCGTCGTACAAAGCTCAGTGAAAATATTAAAAATAAAAATGTTAATAAGCCACAATAACATCGACAAATAAATAATAAAAACAAAAAATGTTTTGCAATCGCTCCAACCGAGGATCGAACCTGGCAGCTACAGGCTTGCAGCTCGCAATTCTCACCACTCGGCTACCGCGTACGCGAAACTCGACTGCTTCGTTTGCTCACTTGTACAAAAGACAACAACTGGCCGTTTTTACCAGTGTTGCCATCGAAAACTCCCCGGATCCGAGTTAAATTAAATTAAAAATTTCGTGCATTTGTTCGGCTGCTTATGCTCATTCTAAAGAGGAAAATGCATGAGTTAAAGCAAATTAAGGCTGGTTATGCAAATAATCGAGCCCGTTTGTCTACCGTATGAACTAGCTTGCATTGACACGAATCCAACCATGTTCCACAGTTCAGCTTGCAAATTGTTGCTGGAAATATGTTTGCAAGCAACAATTTGAAACTTTCTCTCCAACCGCACTGTAAAGCTCTACCCAGAATTGCAGCGAACGACGGTAAAGCGGTCGTCGGTACGTGCCAAAATTAAAACTCACAAAGGCATATGGAATGGCTCGTAATTGCGGCGGCAGCGTTTTGCCGACGTTTTTCGGTTGATTCAAATTTATTTCTATTTTTACCGCCCAGTGGAGACGGCACAATGTTGATTGAGTGTTGATTGTAGTAATTTTTATTATTTTCACAAGTTTGGCAACATTTTAATCCATTTTTACTTCCAGCAAATCTTCATAAACGCCCGTACCGAAAAATTATTTTATTTTAATGATAGTTTTCAAATCTGACGGAAGCCGTCGTCCGCTGTAATTATGGGTAGAGCTTAACTTTGCGATCTCAATTGCTTTGCAATGCAAACATTTTCCGCTCCCCAAACAGAACTTTCTTCAAAAAACATTTTTTAACGCTGCGGCATTGCTGCGTTATCACAATTGCGTTCTAATNGATCTCAATTGCCTTGCAATGCAAACATTTTCCGCTCCCCAAACAGAACTTTCTTCAAAAAACATTTTTTAACGCTGCGGCATTGCTGCGTTATCACAATTGCGTTCTAATATACATACTTATAAAAAATNTATGGAATGGCTCGTAATTGCGGCGGCAGCGTTTTGCCGACGTTTTTCGGTAAATTCAAATTTATTTCTATTTTTACCGCCCAGTGGAGACGGCACAATGTTGATTGAGTGTTGATTGTAGTAATTTTTATTATTTTCACAAGTTTGGCAACATTTTAATCCATTTTTACTTCCAGCAAATCTTCATAAACGCCCGTACCGAAAAATTATTTTATTTTAATGATAGTTTTCAAATCTGACGGAAGCCGTCGTCCGCTGTAATTATGGGTAGAGCTTAACTGATCTCAATTGCCTTGCAATGCAAACATTTTCCGCTCCCCAAACAGAACTTTCTTCAAAAAACATTTTTTAACGCTGCGGCATTGCTGCGTTATCACAATTGCGTTCTAATATACATACTTATAAAAAATTGGGCACATATACTTGGCTAGAAATTTTTTGTGAGCTGTTATGGAAGCATAAACGACATTATGTTATTGTAACTTATGCTGAAAGATACAAGGCTAATATCGTAAAGGAAAATTAATAAACATGATTTTGCATAAAAAAGATGTATTAAATAAGACGTTGAAATTTTGTAATAATATTTTAAATTTTTATTTTAAAAATTAGCTTAATCCTTTTTTCAAAAGATTTAAATTTTTTTGTTTTTGTATTTACTTTTCATTTGATGATTTTTGTTCTTCAAAGTTGTATCATGTTCTTTTAACTTCACCTCTTTTTAACATTTTTTCGATTTTTATTGTTGTTTGTAAAACATTTTCATCTCTTTTATAAAGTATTATGCATGTTTGTAGTTGGGGGTTTTTCCATTTTTCGTTAATTGCAAAGTGTATGGTTTTATGTTCAATGAATGAATTTATAACAGAAAAACGGAGAAAATAAAAATTAAACCTAGAGAAATAAGGTTTTTGAAGTTGGGCGCCACATAACGTTCCCAAATACTTTTGAGAAAGGCAAGGAAGAAAATGGAGCAACTTTTAATTGGTGGTTTTGTTTAATAGATGTACGTATTTATAATTTTTTGAAGTTTCCTAATAATTTCCGTTATTCCCTCTTCTCGCACATGTATGCTGCTGTACAAACCTTGTCGACATACGGCGACAGCAGATGCTTCCTTCTTCTGTTACTGCTTGAGCCTTTGTTAACAAGGAGAATGGCGAAGTTGTTTCAATTTGACTCCACAAAATTATAATGCGTGACTTGATTAGGCAAATTATAATGGCCTTCTATGCGAATTTTTGTATAGGATCTATAAAAGTTTAAACCTTTTCAAATTAGAATATGTACTATTTATATGATTGTATGTTGTAGATTTGATATTTTTCGCTTTCTTTTCTCGTTTTAACGCATTTGCAGAGCTCATAAACAGTAAAAAAAAAAAAAAATTAACATAGCAAATTTAAAAAGGAACAACATGTGGAAAAACTTGAACAGTGAATGCGAACGTAGTACTTCAGCTGATGATTGTTGTTTTAGTTTTCATTCTTGCTTGCTGCGCTGTTGTAAGAGGTGGTAATGATGATGTTGTTGTAGTTGCTGCTGTTGGCTTATGTAGCTTAGAAGTTATTCAAACATTTTTTATAACAAAAGTTCTTTTTACACTTGCTGCTAAGCACAGCAATCAATTCAACTCCTTGTCCTCTAAGTACTTGTATTCAAAAGTGAATCCCTCCTTTTTGCGTTGACTCCATTTCTCGTAATCAAAGTAGATGTACGTACCCTGCAAACAAAACATAATGGTTATGAATATTTTATTTAGGAGCTACAAATGCATGGGTCTCAATGACAGGAAAGAGGTTTAATAGCTAAATATAAAATGTGTATAGTAACTTTCCCAGTAAAAAATTGCAAGCTAGAGCGTAAAAGCCAAATGGAGCGTGAAATTGAGAAGAAGAGAAAACTAGCAGAAAAACTAGTAAAAACTTGCAAGTGAATAGTTGTTGCACTGTTTGGACATTTTGCTGTAAACATTTTACTATTTATAAATCAGTTTTGAACTCTTTGCTTTACACACANTTTAATAGCTAAATATAAAATGTGTATAGTAACTTTCCCAGTAAAAAGTTGCAAGCTAGAGCGTAAAAGCCAAATGGAGCGTGAAATTGAGAAGAAGAGAAAACTAGCAGAAAAACTAGTAAAAACTTGCAAGTGAATAGTTCTTGCACTGTTTTGACATTTTGCTGTAAAACAAAAAAAAACATTTTACTATTTATAAATCAGTTTTGAACTCTTTGCTTTACACACAAGCACTGGCACAGTCCAGTACATCAGTAATATTTTGATTTCCATTCATTTTACTTTTGTTTATGCTTAACCAATTTAATGGCGGCTTTCTTTTGCTAACTAATTTCTGTTAGTAAAAATTTCACTAGCAAGAATTTGCAGCTCTCCCGTGTTATTACGCTCTCGATTCAGTGCTCTCTTGCATATTTTTTGGGTTAATATACACTTTTACAGTAAAAATTTTCAGGTTCCAGTAAAAATTAGTACTATAGCAAATACTTTTTCAAATGTAAATACCTACATACATATGTATGTATTTTACATTAGTCCTAATTAATAATAATTACAAATTAATACAAAAACAGGCAGCATCCAAAAATTGAGAAAGCAATGTGACACTTCGAAGCAAGTGTGCAACCTTTACTTTATGGTGCCGGAAAAGTTTTAGCTCCCAACACGAAATATTCACCCTTATTGCGAGAGTCGTGTGGAATGCAAGTCGTTTTTCGAGAGTCGAATCGTGTCGACAATTTCACGGCATTGCCTAAAATTTCCACTCGACTAGTGTATTAAAATGGAAAAACTTGGCAGCACTGTATAATTTTCGACGATTTTGGTCGTTTACTTATTTCAGTACGACAGTAGACAATGCTACTGTTGACGAGTTGAGGCTGAATATGAACCGAAAGCATATCATTGCAATTTACTTGTTTTATCTTATATGCCATTCTTACTGCCTGCTATGTGACTATAACGTCACTAGACACGAATAAAGGCGCGAGCTCAAAAGTTGACGGCGANTGAGGCTGAATATGAACCGAAAGCATATTGCAATTTACTTTTTTTATCTTATATGCCATTCTTACTGCCTGCTATGTGACTGTAACGTCACTAGACACGAATAAAGGCGCGAGCTCAAAAGTTGACGGCGAAAAAAGACGCATAAAAAAACTTCAGCGTCAACGACTCTTAACATACTTCGCCAAAGTTTTTCATAAGCATCTTTTTTCGCAAATTTTTTCTACGCGCCTTTTTTCGCCGTCAAAACACTAGCGCACCTTTATTCGTGTGTAGCGACGATAAGTATTCACTAATTTTTACTTTCGCAGACGAGTTAACATTTTCGGGTTTCCTCTCATCCTCTTGGTTTGGGGTGCTGACTGATCATGATCAATGTGTTTATCGAATAGAACTATTAAATGAAAACTTACNCGACGATAAGTGTTCACTAATTTTTACTTTCGCAGACGAGTTAACATTTTCGGGTTTCCTCTCATCCTCTTGGTTTGGGGTGATCATGATCAATGTGTTTATCGAATAGAACTATTAAATGAAAACTTA